ACAGTATATATATATATATATTAACATATATTTTAAATTTACTTAGATTTGGCAGTCTTGTTTTATATTCAGGTATTATCTGTTAATTATTATACAGTAATGATTAACATTCTGTGTTATTTTTCAAATACAGAAGCCACCATGGGTGTTTCTTTGGAGGCATGGAGACAGCAGATCGGTACTTTTTCTCTGCCAGGGCCAACTTTTCTTTCAATGTACCTTGGTGTATGCCTTATGTATATCATGGCACTGCCGACCATCTCAACAAAATTTAGATGTACATGAAACAGAGCCTGTTGTATCACTGCTGCTGAGTGGAGACGTTGAATCAAACCCTGGGCCAGCACCATGTTTAACAGAGCAGCAACTACAGGATTTGGTTGCTGGGCATCTCCAGCAAAAACCTGAGAATTTGCTAAACAAACATGTGTATCAACTACAACAGCTGAAAAAGGAGGCATTGGCAAAATGGAAAGACGTTCAGCAGTGGATGACCCAATTGGTGGACTGTAATGACATGCCAAGCATATCAAATTTATCTGCTCAATGGACCAAACTGACAAAAAAACGAAGAGAAAAAGTACGCAACAGTAGAAATAAATTGGAACTGAAAGATTGGGAGGAATCAGAATATTTATTACCAACTACCACTGGGCCAATAGGACCAAGATCAAGTGCAAGTACCAGCACCTCCAAATTTACTTGTGATGTTCTGCAATCGACGAATGAAAGTCTTGCAAAAGAAGTTTGTACCTTAAAGGCTGAAAATGAAACGCTAAAACTTAGACCTTCACCACATAAGCAAGCTACCAATAGAAGAAAAGAACGGATCCACTTAGCAACAATATGAAAACATAAGGCTGCTCTTAAACACATGAGCAAAGATATGACTAGAAAAGAGAAACATATTAAAAAAGTAAAGTATGGAAAGCGTGCTTTCCAAGCTGACTTTGATAAGCTGAGGACAAAATGTGCTCGATTGGAAGAAAGCGAAAGTTCCCAGAAAAATTGCCATGCAACAACAGTTGACGAACTCAAACAGGTAATAGAATTACAGCAAGATCAAATTGAGAAGTTAAAACAAACAATAAAACAGCTCAATGAAAAGCTTAAGAAGAAAGACAATGTAGAACTTGTGGCACTTAAAAATCGGTACTGGACATATACACAAGATCAAGTTCATATGATAAATAGTTTGTTAGATATAGAAGTTTTAATTTGTTTAAACTTTTGTTTGTTTTATAAATAATACTTAAAATTGAAGTAAACAACTTTAATGTCCATTCAGTGGTAAAATGGATGAGGTAGAAGCATAAATCAATCAAGGGCATGATTAGGACATGTGGAGCAGAAATTGTATGAAAATTGCATGATTTTTCAGTTATTCCTCTGTATCTACGGCATATATAAACAATTTTGTTTACATCGTTGTTGTCTGTTGTTGCCATGGTAACTTCACTTTGTTTACTTGCATAATTCCACTTAATACTGGTTGCATTGTGTCCCCTGTACCTAAATTGATAATTACACCAAAGATCAACTTCATAATAAATAGTTCATTAGATATAGATGTTTTAATTTGTTTACACTTTTGTTTACAGAACGTAGAAGCAGTAAACAAATTAAATCTTAATTTTCTCATAGATTTGCGTAGTTATGAATGTGAAAATTTTGCACATATTATCAGATACCTGTAAAATAAAATAAATAGGTCACTAAATCAATATTCTCTTTAGTTTCAGAATTATTTAAAATATATTTATATTTTGTTTCCATGGCAACGACATTGTAACGCTTACTAATTATCAACACTTAACGATCCGTTCTGGTTTGTCCATCTTGGTTTATGTTCCAACAAAAATAAACACATCATACCATGGATATGTATGTGAGTTATTGCTGTTTCATTTTGTTTACTATTTTGTTTGTGTGTTTATTAAAGCCCCATTCCCGGCAAAATTTCACTAAAAATGACTTTTTTTAGAAAATATGCATTTGCATTACTCCAATTATTATATATCATGGAAAAATTTTAGCATGAATTTTAGTTTTACGCAAAAGAATAAAAAAAATGAGAAATACAGACTATTTCTCATAAAATATTACCATTTTCTCGACGAATTCATCGTTACTAGGCAAATTCAGAGGTTGTAGATTGCATCCAATACTCTCGCTTTTATGTATACTTTATACAGTCAATAAAGTGCGCCCTCTCTAATGAGATAAGTTTTTTAC